CGTCGACCTGTTCTCCTGAAATGGCCGAGCACAACATTGTTAAAATCTCCAAGATTACGCATACCTTCACATGTGCACAGCACCTACTTACAAGGTCAAGCAACCTATGTGGCAAATCAAGATAATAGCATATGAACTATAGCCATCAGTATATTTTTTATTCAATATTCCCATCACATTATGTGATGCACCCCTTTCGTGTCTAATTGTGCTCTTCTATCTCTACTAAAGCATCATTAGAATACTCAAATCACTGAAGAAATTATATTGAGCAATCATCACTCTAAATAGGGAAAAGGAATACACAGTTCAAAAAGTATGTAAAACGGTAAATGTGACCCAAATATCTCAGAGATATATCAGATTTGAAGAGTGTGTATCTAAGAAGTCCATTCTAACGGGAGCTAGTGTCTGTATATAGTAAAAAGAATAAAGGTTGGCGAACTCTTGTATTCCAACAATAAATTTTTTATTCAGATTAAATGAAATTTATCTGTATGAATAAACACATGTTATCAAGTTGATTAAAGATGTTCCTTAAATGTTGATTATTGTTAATCCTACTATCCTAGACCTAAATAACATAGAGGTTTCTGACAGTATAGGCTCATCATAAAAACACATCCATATAATATCATTTTACATCTAGGAAACAAGGAGAAGTATTGGAAGAAGTATGAATATGAATACCGATTGTTGCGAAGCCCCATAGCCTGATGGGCGTGAACTAAACAATGACGGGTAGTTCATACCACCAAAATGAGATGATATGGAAGATTCAATTGACCCAGTTGACTCAGGTGACGATGCCCCAGATGACCCCGCATCATCCTCCTGAAAAAATAACACAAAATACCATTTAACTCAGGTTTCACGACCCCGCATCATCATCGAGCAATGTTTGAAAATAAATTACTAGTTGTACCTCAGCTTCATAAGTTTCTAGCAGTGTCTTAGCCCACATATCGTCATAAGTAACTGACTGCCTAGAGGTTACATGCTCATCTTCAACATCTGGGGCGTCAGTTCCAGCACCAGCAAGGAACTCATTTACCTATCACAAAGTAGAAAGAGAATATAGTTGTCGCTGCATCATACAATATGCACCAGATAGGTCAAAGTTGACAAGAATATGCAAGGAGATATGGATCATACAGGATTTAAGTACAACGGTCCTGAAATGAGAACTTTCTAAGACAACCTATTCATGCTATCAGATAAGTTTCTTTACTCAAACTCTCTGGCTGGTTTTAGACAGTGGAGTTAAGAGTTGAGTTAGAGGCCAACTCCCCGTCACTTTTTGTCAAACACTAGTCACAGGTTAGCTCCAAGGATAGAAATTCCATTCAGAAAATTATGCATATATGATAAAAGCCCTACTTTGAAAATTTGTTTGGTAATATAATTCCAGCCGGAAGTTGGAGTAAGATGAAATATTGATGGGATATGAGCTGTATTCTCCCATCCTGAAAATGGAGAACATCAACTCCACAAGTTCACTATAACTAAACAGCCTACAGACTATTAGTATATTAGTTTCTTTTCACATTTGCATGCCTGTCAAATAGTTAGGTGGTTTTATAAGAGATAGTAATAGGAGATTCAATTCAAACCAGCACAGATTTATATAATAGAAGAGTCGAACAAAAGGTGAAAGTTCGTCAATTTTTCTAAAATCATGGTTAATTACAATAATAATAATAATAATAAAGAAGGAAAGAAGTGAATGGGACTTATATGTTAATAAAAGACTAAGAAACTAGGTTGCTTTAATATCTCACTCTATTCATTGCCGGAGCATTGCTTTCCCAAACATCGTCGTCTAAGCCTGCTGCCCATGCCATTGCTAAGTCAGGATCAATGGAACCAGGATCTTTATGCGTTTCTTTGGATTCATATATAAGGTCAGATATCCCGGTAGCGACAGCTGGATCATTTAAACCAGAAGCAGCACTGATATTGTGCCGGTTTCTATAGATGTCAAGGAGTTTGACACTGCAATCAGAATTCCCCCAAAAAAAGTGAGAGCAGAAACAGTTAGTAAAATTAATACAAGATAAATGCACATACATACATTTCTCCATACATTCATACATACATCCTCACATACATACATACATACATAACTACAGACATATGTTTTCATATTGTGTGTTTGTATGTGTGTGTGTGTGTGTGTTGTGTGTGATAACTTAAAATGTGTGAAACCTCATACACAAACACATAGGGCAATCTGAGACCCAGTGCTGCAGCTGTTGGTGTCATGGGTGGTTGGGTAAGTAGATTGAGAGAGGAGCTTCTAGAGTAATCCAGATGATAATTTCGAGATGAGAAGACAAAGAAGTGAAAAAATTCATTAACTATTCCTGTTGCAAACAATGTGAAATCGTAAGTTGGTGAAAGCCAGAGAGCAGAGGATGGACGATGGAGTTGAGAAAAAGTTGCAGCAATTCTCCCTAATCACAAGGCCCATAAGTGGAAACACATGTAGGACCTTAAGTCCAAGCCCATAAGTGGAAACACATGTAGGACCTTATGGAAACACATGTAGGACCTTAAGTCCAAGCCCATAAGTGGAAACACATGTAGGACCTTAAGTCCAAGCTCAATATATTAGAATAAGATTCAACGGTTATCAAGTGGCTAAGGTGGTATATTTAAAACTGTGAAAGAAGCTTGGATAAAAAAGTGTTATCTCCATGAACAAAAAGAAAACTCCTGTCAAACCAAGGTACAAATCAATTTTACCCAGATATATTATGATATGCTTCATGAGAGTATTTCCAGGTCTGCTGTTAATTGTTTCAAGTAAAGCATATATACAAGAAGCTCACTCTTGCAAATTGCCATGAAAATTTCATGTCAAAGCCTGGCATTCCATCAAGAATAACAAAGAGGCTTATACCTTATACTAAATCTAAACATATCAGACCTTCTCCGTGGAATGAGAAATTCATATCGAGTAGAATGACATGCAACTTCTTACCTGGTAGCCCCTAGCGGCAAATATTTTGCCCTTGGAAGAAAACAGAAAAGAGAGACTAAATCAAGAAGTCTTTCATGAGTCTCATAAAGTTTTTTCAGTTCGTCATCTGTCCACTCTTGTTTATTGTTATCATGATTCCGCATGTCTCTGTATATATCCATAAAGGAAAAAAAATTACATATCAATAGTTAGTCGAAACTCCAAATATGGGGGAAATGCATGTGCTTTCTCACCTAATCAGATCATCTTGTGCTCTGTACATATCATCAAGGACTTTCAGCATAGGACGTATTAAAGAACCTAGACCCGTACCACTAGCGCCTTGTTCTTCGCCATTACTGAACTTAATTTCTGAAAACTGAGACTGCACACCTCCTTCGGCTAAAGCATGTAAAAATTCATATATCTGTAGCCTATAAGGCTCACCAGACCTAATTGCTATAGTCATAAGGGCTTGGACGGCAACTATTCGAACCTGATTGAGTAACACTTCACATGAGGGGAAAGGAAACAAGCTACAGATACTTTGAAATAATTTAATACGAGTCTCATGGGAAAGGTACAATGAGGATAACATCAGGAGTATTTACCTCCCAGCTTCCGCTGAATGCACACCTTTGAAGCCGCGTCAATGCACCGGCAAGAGTAGGGTTCCGAGAACTAGCAGCAGCTACCATTTTATCAGCATCCAACATCATAAGTGCGGTACCAGGAGGTGTTGCAGATTCCCAAGCATATTCAGATGCAGCATAGTTAGCGTTTTCACCAAGGAACCAAACCTAAAAATTTAGGTGAACAACTTCATGCCCTTGAATTCATTAAACTTTGCGGTTCATTACTGATAACAAAGTTCAGGTTCTTTCTTGCTGAAAAATAAAAATTCAAAATCATACTTACAGCGGCCTGCACTAGTTTTTGTAATGCCAGAGCAGATTTGGGATCTGATGCAGACACTCTATCAACAGATGTCAGACCTGACATTGATCCAGGTTGTGGAGGAGGTAGATCAAGGACTATCGTGACTGCTTCTAGAGCTGTGTGTTTTCCATCTGGTCCAGCTCCAACAAGGCACGTCTAGAAGAAAGAACATGCATATTAATAAAAATATAACTTTATAGTGGTCCTTGAACTAATAAATGGCAACATTAAGCCAATGTAAATGTGAATCAAGCAAATAACTGATATTGCAGATCCTCAAACATAATATAGCTTGTGGAGAAAGAGAAAAGATGAAGTTATTATTCCATCTAACCCCTAACCTATTTGAGATTAGGAGAATGTTACAAAATATGTATGAGATAAAATCACATTTAATAACATTTCATAATATCTAACACTCCCCTCAAGCTCAAGCCTATATACTCGCCCAACTTGTTACAAATGGGAACACAATAGCTAATTGCAAGAGCTTTGCAAGAGCTTTGATAACGTTATCTTTGCCCAGAGCACAAGCCAAGTGCCAAAATAAAGTCAGACAAAGATCACAAGCATATTCCCGTTTTTACGATTAGTACAGTCAGCCAGCCAGAAGTAGGAGACCCTCAACATAGGAACAAGTCTTATAAACTCATATCAAGGCCAGAAGAAATCTTAAGCGGGTCAACCAGAACTCTTGCGGGTCAATTAGTAGAAGCCTAGACAGGTCAGTCAGAAGAAACCCTAGATAAGTCAGCTAGAAAGAAGAAATACTAGGCGAGTTAACTAGAAAAAAGCAACTCCAGAATCAACCATTGAAGTGGACTGGTATTGTTGTAGAGAATCAACATAAGATGCCGAACAATGTTATGAACAGTAACAGTTACTGCTCATGATGAACTGTACTAAATTTAGTGTCCAGTGTGAACGACATCGTTCATACTGTTAAGGGGAACACTAATGTCCGCTACTGTTTATTCAAGTGAACAGTAACTCCACTTGCTGTTCGCAACACCTAAACAAAGATGGATTTTTTTCCCTTGTGGATGATTTTTTGTGGTGAGGTTCTTTCATGGTTGCTTTTTTTTGTGTGGTTGAAGTTAAGTCAAAATTTAGAAAATAGATGATGCAATAGATCTGAAAAAGATATGAAGATGAAAAGTGAAATTGTCAATGACCAAAGATGGTGTCATAGCCGTTAAAAGGAGAAGCATGGAGGTAGCGCTTGCAGCAAAACCCCTCTGGCGGCCACAATATCTCGAAGAGGGGAGGAAATATCTAGGATCAAGAATTAGGCTCTGATATTATGTAGAGAGAGAAAAGACGAAGTTATCATTCCATTTAACCCTAACCTCTCTTAAATAGTAATTAGGAGGGTATTAAAAAATAGATAAAAGATAAAACCATATCTAATAGCATTTAATAATATCTTATAATATCTAATAATGTCTACCATTACTAATAAGATCTAATATAGCTTAAAGTAATTTTACATAAATACAGAAATTATGCAACTAAGGAAAGATTCCAAAAACCTCAAGGTCAAAAGATGTTTTTCCATATGGATCTGGTTTCATCTTCAAGGTGAACATAAGCTTGAGGACCAGAATGAGAACGTATTTCCCATAAGAGAGAAAAAGGGTTACATAGTGTCTCAGAGTTCAGAGTTCAGACCTTATAAAATCTTTAGGCCTAGTGTACTCATCCTGCGAACTCCCGAAATTTGTTTTGCAGTTGTTTTACTAATTTACCCTATAAAGGAATCATAAGTTTAAATAGACACTCAAGGCTAGGTTGATATACAACTCTTGCGGAAATTAAAGAAAATTTATTCCAATCAAATAGAACTAAGGAAACAGGACAATCAGACATACAACACAATCATTGCCATAGTAGAGAAGAATCGCCTAAGGTTATTCATTTCATCATCAACTAAAATTAGAAGGTAAAACCCAAATTTGATCATACTCCGTACTCCTTGCAAATAACAATGGGAATGAAAAAACAAGTGCATTTCCAGTTCTTAGGAACAGCCCCTTCAATGGAATTGGGTTTGCCATGGACAAATACATCAAGCAAAGGGCCAGCAAATGCCTTGAGAAGGTTATATTAATCATTGTACTAATGGTTCTTGTCAATGATAAGCAAAATGCGTGGGGTTGGTATAGTAAACAAGATAAGACAATGCTATGTCAATGTTTGTGGTAGCAACTCAAAATATAGAAACAAGGGTGCAGAATTCAAAGAAAGGGATTTGCTAGGAATAACATGATTACAAGTTACGACACACAAGGGCCATTGTTAAAGATAAAATCATGGCTTACATACTGGATCCTGTGTTAGACATCCTGGGAGAACTATCTAGCTCAATATCAATGCAGACCACTGAGCAGGCCAGATAACGAATCTCATGAACCTGAGGTCCAGATACCTAAATGGACATTCTGATTTGGAGGGTACATGGACATCGTGTCAGTTTAGAAAAGAAATAAACAAACTACGTACTGCCATGGCAATGCAATAAAGTAACAGTATATTGCCACCATGGTCCATCTATGTACAGCAGGAAATTTTGGGTATATATTTTTTTATTTTCCTCATAAGCAGCCACGCTCAGATCTCACTAAAGAAGAGGATTGCACCAAAACAAAACAAAAGATGCGGAAAGGCGAAGTTGCCACATCCTAAGTAACAGATGGAGAAATATTAATAGCACTGAAATTTAAAAAATCAGTTAATATGAAAAGGCAAAACGCTTTAGAACCTGGAGGTCCAATTCGATAAAATAAACCCATGGCTTTACCCTTTCAGCAACCATGTGGAGAGAGAAGTTGGTTGATAATGAGTGCAATACCCATATTTTATTCTTGTTTTTTTTATTAAAACATTATGATTTAGTGTTGGAAGGGGCTGGAGATGCATTGAAGAGGATTCTATCAACTATATTCCTTTGCCGACAAATTCTCATCCAACACTAATTTGGTGCTTCACGCATGAGGTGTGGATGGGATGATTGCTCCTGAAAACAGCATCGAATTAGCTCAATATAAAGCCTCAAATCAGATAAATATGCTTCATAGCTTGCAACAAGTTAAGCTACAAGTTTTCAAGAAGATTCTCCCTACTTAGCATCCGATAGATATTCCATCAAATTTTACGTGTGCTACTTGAACACTCTTAAACACAATTTTTCCGGTGTTTGCTTCGAGTAATGATATCATGCCAAGGCATTTGGCCAGGATCACCAAGCTTTTTTAATCACTCTGTCATCCTGTTTCTTCAGGTGGAAATGAAACAATTTCAATTGCCAACAATAATTCAAACTCTTTGCCTTCCTCCCTTTCGACCACCATTTACAATTTCAACATTCAAGTAACATAATCGCTTGCCATGGATAAATTGTTTCTTTGTGGTTCTGCAAAATGAAAGGCTCAGATGTGCTCAACCTCACATTCAAAACCTAGGACCAAAGAAACAACTTCACACAGAGTGTCACCGAAGACTTGCACTACCTACCCTTCAGTAAGCATATAGATATATCAGCATGATATCATCTGCTTCTATATGAGTAACTATAAACTGACACCCATTTGATAAGGAAAATGCTTAGACTGTTACGACAACGACCTTTTAATTAAGAGGAAACAGATGAATCTAGCACCTGCTTTTCTATTATCAACGAAAGGACATAAACTCTCGCTTAGTTTGGAGAGAAATGTCATGGCAAGAAGAACAGTTAAAATAATAGACATGATCGGAGAAAGTGAATCACATTTAAGATAAAGTCACAAAAGATACTACAAAATTCGAGTAAGGAAGCTTGATTAAAGAACTATTCTACTCAAAAGAAAGGGAACTCACTTTCCATAAAAGTTGCAAGACATCCGCATCAATCTTTCCAGGGACTTTGGTGGCGAAAATCCTTGCAATTTCAAGTAGTGTGACTGCCATTGCTGGAGTCGCCTGGGTGGCAAAAAATAAATTACAAGGAAAAGAGGAATAAGTCCCAAGCAACCATTAATGTGCCAGAAAATTGCAGACTTGTCTCATGTAGCCAGACAGAAAATATGTATATACTACTCTCTATGTTCCTTGTCTAACTGAAACAAGGTATAAAAAATTAAAAGTACAATCCCTAGTAAAGCAGCATCATTTACAAGTAAAACCCAAACAATCTTAAGAACTCTCCTACAGAAAGCTTGAAGCTCTCTAATAGATCTCAGACGCTTAATCCTATCTGCATGCACATACCACTTTTCTTGTTGATTTTATTGATCTTTTAAAAAACCAACAAATTGCATGGGAAATAGAACAAGAAAAACAGTATCTGCATTTCATTTTTTTTTATTAATAGTTTACTTCAATCGTTTTAGTGATATTTGTTCAATCGCTTGACCAATCGATTGAAAAGCTGGAATAAAATAACAAGACTGCCCAAAGATATGTGATTGAGGGCAACGACTTGATAAACAATTTTTTATTTAGTAAATTTACAAAAAATTCTGCTCACTTGAAATGTTAAAGGTAACTTAAACAACAATACACTTAAATAACAATACTTCTTAGTTATCTCATATGTATGCATAAAGGAAGATTCATAAAAGAAATACCTTGAACCGAGCATGCAAAGTAAGTAAGATATCGTTCAACAATGCTGATGGCCAAGCTGGATCAGACAGCTCAGATGCAATGATAGCTCCCAATTCTTCAAATGATTCATGTGGATTTTGCATCCAGATCAAAGCTTTTATTACCATTCCTCGAACATAAACACATTCACATGCCACAGTTGTTCTCACAACTTCCATTAGTGACGCTAATAAACTAGCAATTGTATCCTTACCACCTGTCCCATTTGACAGTGGCAATGCCTTTCGTGAGACTGCAGAAAAAATAGAGGGAAAAATTGGAGAATAAAAGTCATCAGCAAGTCAAGGATATACACATTGTTACTTGTGCCATTGTGGTTGAGGGACAGTTAGCATTCACAATAAGGGAAGACAACACAAAGACTACAAGAATTAGGCTCATGAAATTAAATTCATCCAAAGTGGACAACTTTTCATGTTGCAACGAAAAGCTAGGCTTCTACTAATGTTCATTAGTAATCATCTCATATTGACATCACAGATCACAAAAACTGGGTACAAGGGTTGAGGCTTTTTATTTGGGTCATAAACTGTATTTAACATAATGACAAAAATTATGATAAAATTTTGGAAACCTCTAAAAGAAATCAAACTTTGGTATTCAATCAGTAACCAAATGCTTCATTCTTTGTTCATGACATAACATATGGGATTGAGCAGAACACACCTAAGTTGTCAGAAATGTGTTTTATTAGTTAAAGGATTCTTGTGCTTTGTATTGTGCCATGCGTGTCTGCGTACTGGTTATGAGAGATGCCACCTCATGTACCAACATGAGCTACCAGCAAATGGAAGAGGTCAGGTCCACACCTTTCAATATGACTAGCCTGATGGGCATCACCACTACATCTCTTGGTAAGTTGGTAGCTTATTTAGCAAAATGACCTCCCACCTCATATCCATTTCCACACACACATGCAATCGCGCAGACATAAGGTTCCAGTAACAATCATCATCATCATCTAGGTCTCTGTGACTCTGTCCATCACGACAAGTCCTCCATCAAGCAAATTGACAGGCTCTTGGGAGCATTGAAGAAAATTCAACAATTCGCAACCTCTTGCTTTCTAGCAAAGTTATGGACAAATCAAGGGCTTGCCTAAATCTGAAAAAAACCAGTTAAGCCTAGCGAAGATCATAAATTCTAACACATATAATCAAGTATGAAGTACCAATCGTAAAAATAATGAGTATAATTTACTGCTAAATAATTAACAAGATTCCATTCTCTAATATATAGTAATAAAGCCGCACAAGTCATACATTTTAATTGCATAGCTAGCATTCCAAGTACAAACTAAAAGATAAACATTTGATATGGCTTTTACTGAAGTCTGTGAGGTAGTATAATTCCAGATAGATCTTGTAGGAAGCGTTTATTATCTAAATAAATCCATTCAACTGCCAGCTGCATGTCTTATACCAAGAGATAATTCATTTTATTCAAGGGAATCCAAGTCCATGCTAAAACACATAGAACAAGCAGCAAATACAATCCCCAGTTGAATTCCTAACCACCTTTGTTGCTTTAAAACTGCATGACATAAGTTTTATTGGCATACCTTCAGAATGTGAACTTTCATTGAGATCTGAATCAATTGAATCAGCATTTTCTGAATACATGTGAAGCTGAGTTCCTTCATCAATGTCGTAGACGCCTAATGAATATGCTGCTGCCCTACTTTTTCCCATTTCTTGAACAACTCTTGCTGCCGCATGCAGCACGGGACGAGAGAAACTACGAAACGAACTCTCCAATCTGAAAGCAAACAAAAAAACAGAGTAACTAATAACAAAAGAAGACTAACAGGTCTCCCCATCACAGGTCTCTAATTTTGCAAGAGATACAATTTAAGAAGACAAAGAAGAAAGTGACAAAGCAATACTAGAAAACATTAAACCTTCTCATCACGAGTTTGATAAGAGGTTGTGGGCGCCTTGATTTCGAGGACTTCTCGTTGCTTGGTTTAGGTGGAAGGGTGTCTTTAGGTTGAGCTTTACTATCCTTTGAAGACACAGACGGTGCCTCAGGCAACTTGAGAATTTCTCGGGTTAATTGGATCCATCCAGCAGCTCGCTCTTCAGTCCTACAAATAAAAATAAAAAAAATCAGAGTAAACAAGAAGTTCATCATCCATCAAAGAATAAATCATGAAATAATAAAAATATGATAACCATTTATTAAGCTGTTACCTTTCTGTAGTATCTGATTTCCCCAGTACACACATTATCGCCTCAAAACAAACTCGATCACTAGGATCCAGAAGAAGTTGATAGAGGATAGAAGTAAACTGAGACTTAATATCAGGCCTCTCTGAAAACAAAGGAAAAAGAAAAAGAAAATTGGATAAACCATGTGCAGATAACCCCAGGACAGAAATTTTCTGTTTCCCAAAGAAGATGCTAAATTGAAAGTGATATCTTTTGCACATACCTTCCAGTGAACGTGCTCTAGATAACGTATGACACAATCTAGCAAGAGATACCCTAGCAAGAACGTCATGCAAATGGAGGACATCTGATAATGCACCTGTTTCATGTAAAACTTGCCTTAGCACAAACATGAAATGAACGAGACAAACCTGGTAACAAAGTTCAGAGAGATTAATCTTGGAGATTAGTTTCAAGAAAAGGAACCTTATCATAATAGTAGAAGTAGAACGGAGATTATTGGCAACGACAAAAACTTTAGGCATGACAGTCTTATCATCCAATTTATGAGATTCTTCTATATAGAGCATTGAAGATTTTTTGCAATGACCACAAATAAATATTGTTGATATCAGTGCCTTAATGTCTTGAGATATGAGAAGCCTAAGATCTTATGAAGATAAAGCAATCCCTAAGTTGTAATGGAGACAAATGACACACATGCGAGATAACAAAATGGGATATAACCCAAGTCACAGTACTAAGCGTCCTGCCCTGAGTACTGGAGAAGGAACAAGATGCTAGGCTACTGGATATTTTGACAATTCTACATAAGCCATGTGGTTGTTAAAGAGCCCTTAATGTCCTAAAACGTGAGAAGCACAAACTGTATTACCACAGTAGAGTTCACAAAATCAGTAATAAGACGCTCTGAGGTCTACCCAAAATCGCACCTACTGTACGATAGCTAAATGCAGACAGTTCAGCTTCTCATAGAAGAGGCTGCAAAATATAAAAAAAAAATAGCAAATGAAATGGTTAAATTTCCTTCATAAAAAATCAAGGCAAGGCTAGCTGTGTACAGGCCCCTTGGAAAAGTTTATATGGATGAAGATGATGACTTCCTAGCTGCTTGAAACTGTAAACCACAACAAGGAGGGTCAAAATGCAAGGATCCCCTCAGACCGGTTGATAGTGATCAAAGAAATGGCAGCTTGAGAGGAAATCAAAGCTGAATCTCTCATCTAACCCATTGATACGAGTCGCCGTGCGAGCACCTTTGATCGCGGAATTATCAAAGATGGGTTGAGAAGAGGATGACTGAAACACAAGAATAATTCAGTATGTGGCGAAGGAAAATACCCTCTCTAGATTATGATATGAAAAGATTACAATCCCTCTCTTACAATCTCACTAGAATCGAGAACAAACTCTCAATTCTCTCTAAATCCTAATCTCTCTTGATTAGAATCTCTCTTTGATTATATTTGATTTTTTTCTAGATCAAAACTGATCTCTCTTAGACCTAATATCCTTAGATCTACATCTCTAACAATCTCCTCTGTTTAGAAACCCTAAACAATCTCTTATATAGGTGTAACAACATGGATGGCAAAGTGGTAAATAACCAAGCCCAAACCCCACAAGAATTCGTGCAAACAGAAACCCAAACGAACCAGGAAACCGTCGATGAGTCGACTCATAAACATGCTTGAGTCGACTCATGACACATGGGTCGACTCATACAGTGATGAGTCGACTCATACAGTGATGAGTCGACTGGTCAGAAACTTTTAACAAAACAGCTGAGTTTTATGAGTCGACTTATGGCAGACATGAGTCGACTCAACCTGATGAGTCGACTCATGTACATGTATGAGTCGACTCGCGGGCTGAAAACTGGATACTTCGATTCTTCGATTCGTCGTCTCGTTCCACGCTTCAACCTGCGTTCCACTGTGTTGTTTTATACCTTTATTCTCATGCTATTATGAGAATCATCTATCCTCAAGTTCCCATGAGGATCGCTAAGTTCCGAAGAGAAGATACACCCGTATCACCCATCTGGTTGCATCACAGGGGATATAACGGAACCTTGAATGGTTATGTAGATAAAAACTCAAGTCTGAAAGAGAGTTAAAGTTTTCCTAAGATACGCTTAGCCTACAGTTACAATGGGAACAACAAGTCAGTGGTTGAACAAAGTAGACTGATTATGTTGAAAATGGGCTCACTAAAGTCACAACTAATTGTAGGTCACTGTATTTAAGAAAACCTTACAGTCAGAGCAAATTCGTAATTTCAGCATTCCACAAAAAGTAACTCGAAGGAAAAAGATCAAAGAGACCTATTAGAAATGATGACATAAAATAGAGCTAAAGACCTCGACTATTGAAGGAGAAGCAAGATGCGAAAATCAAGGCACTGCTCACTGAAGTTGAGTTCACAAGAATCACAACAATTTAAAATTGGAGACACTGATTTCCACCCAACACTGGACCTATTGTACTCTAGAGAAATCAAGTGAGATCAGCCTCTCATGGCAGAGGCAGCAAGAATATAGACAGAATGGCAGATAAAGGGGTTAAATTCCCAAGATGTAAAATCAGGGCATGGCAAGCAACTTATTGGGTCCATATGAAAAAGGCTGTACAAGTGAGGATGATCACTTCCTAACTGCTTGAAAATTATGAACAACAATGAGAGTCAAAATGCAAGGATCCCCTCGACCAATTAACAGATCACAGAGAAGGCAGCTTTAGAGGAACTCAAAGCTGAATCTCTCATCAACCAAGGTTACATCAATGGGGATAGATCTGAACCTTGAGTGGTCATGCAGGTAAAATGAGGTCTAGTTAGTCCAAAGGTATAATGGGAAGAACGAGTCGATGGTTGAACAAAACACTGATTACTGTAGTCGTGACTTTGGTAAGCCCATCTGCCGCAATTAACTTACTAATTAGTATTGTTGAGATAAATGAAGAGCATATGCACATGGGAGGACATGATTTCTTAGTATCCAGTTAATTTTCCATTCGGAAACTAACAATTATCTAGATGATGATACAAGTTGTTAGGAAGCAAATGGATACTATCTTGGCTTTTCTTTGGCGAGATGACTGTGGCAAGTGTTATACGTACCAAAAATATATTAATCTAGCACATGGTTCACTCTCTAAGAATGTGTGACGTGTCAAGGTAGCACATGATTGCTTATGCTTATTTGTCTGCATTTGGAAATGTACCTCCTCTCTTGTCTATTTAAACCACTGAATGAAAAAAGAAAGCTTAATAAAACAATCTCAAATGTGTACAAACAAAACACGAGCCACGGCTATGACAACAAAATCTATTCACAAGATGATATCACACTACTCTTAATTGTATTATACTTTACTGATATGTTTTGGGTTCTGTTTCTATGGAAACAAAAGCTTGAAAATGATACAGATTAAAAGCCAAGAATAGCCACATACCTCCAGGCTGGGCATGCTTGCCTGAAAAGGAAAATAAGAGAAAATGGTATCAGTAAGAAAACAATAAAGAACAGGTGCAGATGCATGTGATCAATGTTTGAAGGCCACACTTACAAAATGAGCTAATATACAGAACAAGCTTTTCAAATGAAAATAGAGTAAATGTTCACAATTCAAAATGATATCCTTTTGCCAATGCAGACAGACGCCAAACAATCTATAACTAAAACAGTCAAAATAAACATTATTGCTGACCCAAAGCCATAGCAACAGAATAGGGATCTCTCATAGATAAGTCAGATATGATGGCCAATGAATGCCTCACTGCAACTGGATCAGCGAATGATATCCTGCAGCCACATCAATATCAAGATATTAAAAATTAGTGAAGAGATCTCTAAATTTCCATACGGTAACTGAAAAGAAAGTATAACAGATCTACTACTGCTTAATTTTGAGATAAGCAATCAAAGAAAAGTGTTTCTATCTCTTGGAAATTATGAATATGAAGGTAAAGTATACGACTTATACGACAGATAAAAAGAAAGAGTGATTTGAATGACAACAAGCATAGGTTGTCTCAAGTCAAACAAATAACATGGTTCTGTAGCTGCTACACCAATAGTTTCATGGTATACACAAAGCACACAAAATAAGACCCATGCAAAATAAAACAACACATACATATATGAGGAATCAGTAATGAATCTAAGAGGCAGCAAAACTATGAATACTATCTTATAGAACTTATGGTCCACCAAAATTTAACTGCACATCAGCATGGACCTTAAAAAAAACAAAACAATAAGTCATAGATTGGTATACCTCTAGGAGGGTCCTTAAATACCATTCTCTTCTCTTAGCTAATCGAAACTATAAAGTTATACAAAACGGGGGACTTCCTAGTAGTGAGAAGTATATCAACTACTCTGCATTACAAGCTTCAAACAACCTCCTAAGAAGGGGGCAACAGAGGATTAAATGAACATCATGGACTTACCCCTGAATAGCCCGATGAAGAAATGCAGGATTTCCAGGATCTATAGGAAGTCTTCTTAGAGCACTTAGAGCAGCGTACTGCAAATTATTCCGAATCACTGCCTGCAGGTGTTAGAAACTAGATGTCACTAGAAGCAGCATTGCCAATGAAACCTGAAGTACAACAAATATAAGTCTAAATTGCCATCAAATAACAAGTTTTTCCTGAGCAATTAGAATAGACAACCCAAATTTGCACAAACGAGTATAACATACTCATTACTCAACAATATTTGATCTAATATAGAATAAAAATAGGGCGGTGAACACCCATAAGTAAGTTCCACATGCACAGAAAACAAATCAATAAGTTACTGTTTGCAAAACAGATTATTTCATAACAAGATACTACCCACTAGATCAGTACCCAAATAAAATATTGTTCACTAATTGTTAACGAAAGAAATCATAAGAGAAGAGAATGTGGGGAATATATGATCTTTCAAGCTCAGAAAATAACAGCAAACAGCAAATAAAAAAATAAATTGGGTGTCTGAAATATCTAATACAAAAGCGTATTCACTAGTTCCAAAGTGCACAGGAGTAGATTTGTGTATTTATTATAGACTCTTCTTGCACATACATGTGAGGTCATTTCAGACTCAAAACACTTCCTTTAATATCATGTAACTCTTGTTTCTTTAGTGCAACAGGATTAAGCAATTGCTAAGGTTTTGTTATTTGAATCAACAAAAATAGACTAATGAATTGATTGAAAAAGGATCTTTTTTGGGAAGTGAGATTGAGATAGAATCATCTTCAAGAATTTCCTTCCAAAATTTTTGTAGTGGAAATAGTGCTCCTTAAGTAGTTCCCTTGAAGTAATAAAGAGACTAACAAAAAGAAAACAAATACAGCTTGATGCGAGAACACACCATGCAACTTAAAAGCACAAAGCAGTACTGAATTATATAATGGTATTTTGAAGAAAAAATTGATCAAAGTAAACCAACAGGACATAATAAGCAAGCCTTGCACGGGAAAACGGTTTGCAACTCAGTTTAATCCATGTAAAAAAAACTCTGGTACCTCTTTATCACCACCTGGTTTGCCAAAAATGCCCTTCTTGCGCTTATCTTTGAAGTCTGCAACCTGAAAGATCAATAAGAATTAAAATGATGCAAAAGAAAGAATTGGGACAAGAACAAGAAAATTACTTCAGGAAAGAGGGCGCAAGTTGAGGTTAAAAGTAAATGTTTGACATATTAAATCCTGTTCATATGCACATAATTTAGCATAAGTTTTATAATGGTTAGAGATATTTGATAATAGATATTATTTGTATGGAGTTCAGTTATTTCGCCACAAATCTGATTTAAGATCCAATCTGCTTATAATTTTTATTATAATCCATTCATGTGTTTTTCAACATATCATATGTTTATTTTCCCAAAAAACTAGAATGAAGAACTATAGTTTATTGTAGTATTCTAAGTATCCAGTTTGATATATGCAGTGTCTGTCATTGCTCAGAATGTTATTGAAGAAAATACCGTTAGCAGTCAGCATTGCAGTTTTTAAGTTATGGTTTAGCCTCACAATTGAGACAGTAGACCAAACGGATGTTTGTCATATAAACTTTGGCATATTTTGATACTTGGAATAAAAAGAATAGGTGGATAGCCTGACAGACTTAAACTAGCCGAATAGGGACATCACATCATCCATCAGATTATGATGGGTTGTTGACTTGTTTCTTTAAAATAACAGAATATGTAGCATTGAAGAAGATAGCAAAACTGCTCTAGACATCAGTCTATATTTTTGGCACAGCGATTTATATTTCAAAGTTCAGAGTCAAATATAGATCTAGCAGCATCTAGGCTCTTTACAATCGTAGGTGGATGAGGATATTGCCCGAATTCAGACATGAGCAGATTCAAATGCCGTTTAATCTAAAATATGTAGCACACAGAAATAGCTAAGGATAGCATCATATTGTCAGAATCGGATTTGGATTTAAGGCAATCAATCCAAGGCGCATAGCTGAAAGAAAGTGAACGTACTAAAAAAATGCTCTTAGCAGGTAAAAAGAGTCTAAGAAAAGGTCATTTTCTTAAGCCCATTTAGACCAGTGAAATTATTGAGCTAGACATACTGCATGTATAAAGGAAAATTTACTATACCCCATTACCAACCTTTTCCAGAATGCCAAAGACAATTTCATACAACTTGGCCAAAACTTCAGAACTGCTTGTGGAAGCAGCTGTGAGAGCCTTGAGAGCTGCAAGCCTCCGAGCATGAACTTCAAAGAAGTAAATAAATAAAGTTAATGAAAAGCCAAAAACAAAGCAAAAACAATATTACACTGTCATCATATTAATTTCACTAGTAGCAATCTTAGCAGCACGTGGGAGTCAAGGAGTTTTAGCATCAAAACCATGCTGGGATATGCTCCTAGGGCAATCTTCCTTGCCGATTAAGATCTCGGTATTTTTCTGGAAACATCTATTTGATGTTGTCCCTTTGGATGACAACATTAAGAGGTTAGATTCTATTGCTAGCAAATGTCGTTGTACTTCTGCAAATATCGAAGACGTAATTATAGGCACTAGTTGTGTCGAAGTTTTTTGCATCTTTTTAGAACATTCAAATTGGTTTTCAGCTCTCACCTCCATATTGGACCCTTTAAGATCATAGCAACCATATCTACATGTTCAACCATCAGAAATTTGCAGAATTTGAGCCCTGACTGCATCTTATAGGAAATTTGAAAAATGGAATGTTGCACGAGATGAGCACCAGAAAAATGTCTCAAAATGGACTTATCTGACTGTTTTTCTCCTTTGAGTAAAAGTATGCATCTTTAAAAGTACAATATATCAAAGAATGATAAAGCAAATATACATAAATTCAACATCAGTACTAGTACCAAGAGATGACATGTTATTGCCTGTACTACTTGGAAGTTACTGTTTGCTGGATCTATAAGCTAAATAGTAAATACTAATGGAGCTGTGAGAGAAGTCGGGAATGAGCTCTTCTATGATCTTATAAAAGTGGCATCAGATTTGCATCTGCATACTACTATGGCTGGATCAGGTATTAACTGCTAAAGCTAAAGCAACAATAGATGGTCCTATTCAATACTCAGAAAATTTATTGTGCACCCCGACTCTAAGCTCCTTGCCAATTTCATAAACAGTATCATACAAATTTCACAGGTATATGACTTATTAAGGATATTAGAAGGCTTTTCAAGGATTGCCAAGCTGAAATGCAGTATGCTTTGAGATAAAAATATGGTGGTTAATTTCTTGGTTGATGAAACTGTTATCATAAGATGCTCTTTTACATCTCATCTAGCCTTATCGCGAAGAACGTACGCAGACTATTTGCTCTTTATAAATCTCTTCTTCATAGATTCTGAGAACATGTAATTAAGTTGTTAACTTTGATATCCTTGAGCATTCCAGATAAAAGTATCAAATGTGTAAAAACTGCATAGACATATAACAAGCTGGTAGACAAGCACCAATTTTTGTAAACCATCTACAGGACATATGCAGGTAATACTTGGTTCATTTATTTAGTTGTGAAAATGGCTATATCAATCAAACATAATATAAGGGTGCAAGTGATGTGCCGAATTACAAGACTCTGTAAATTTTTAAGACTACTATTTACGCCGTTTTACTTGAAGCCGGACGCCTTTCTTCATCCTTCCCAGAGTCAAAATGAAGAGTATGAATTTAAAATTTTCGTGGATGGAGAACAGGTGATAGTAATACAGTAACAAGAATGAATAGATCAACGCAATGAAGCAAGAAACATGTACATTCAGCATCCGTATTAGAGGCCTCTGAAGTGAGCTGGCCTACGATTCGAGGTACCACGTCAGCTCTAGTGACACCTCCAACAGCATCAATATCAGCCAGTGCATCCCAGTTTGGTGTGGGAATTCCACCGCTTGGAGTTAAGCCCTCAACTCCAGTATCTGAAAGTATTCTGGCCAAATAGTAGTAAACATAACGGAGAACATTCCTATCCTCACATTGCTGATTGAGCTGCAAAAGCACAGACCAAAACAATAACCAAACTTTCTATATACAGTAAATAGTAGATTTAGATGAGAGAAAACTAGTATAGTATCCATAGATTAGAAAACTACAAAGCCCTTCTGTTAAGATAGGATGACATAGGTCGAGGTTTGTTAAAACTGAATGCAAAGTCCACTTTTTAATGATTGATATGGTAAAAAAAGATTTTCTTTATTTTATGTTTAGAAATATATGTGATCAATGGGCCAGAGTCAGAGAAAACTACAAATCCCTTTTATTTAGATAGGATGACATAAGGCATGCTTGTTTAGAACTAAATGCAAAGTCTTCCTTTCCATGATTAATATAATGACATAAAATTATTTCTTAAATTTTTTAAATTAAGTAAAAATCAATGACATAACTCAGGTTAGCTAAGCATAAATTTGTAACAAAAAATAAGTACAATGCGAGAAGTAGCCACCTAGCCTAGATTAATGGAGAATGTTAGATTCGATTGTGGAAGGTCTTTGTTGAGAGTGAGGGAGGAAGGGAGCGAGAGATTTACAAGGTTTAAAGTACAAGGTTTAAAGCAAAATCATAGCTCTTTTAATGTGCATCTTTTAATTCGGTCAAAGTTTTTTTTATCTCTTCTTTCTTCCACCATACTGCATTAGCTCATGTCTCCTCTTAATATTCATCTCATTGTTTCCTCTTAACCAGATGACACATGGTTTTCCTAGTTAGTGATATAGAAGCTGTTTGAGAGCGTCTTATATGGCACAATAGTTTACAAGTCCGTTTTAAATCAATTTGTGATCTTTATCTTGAAAATCTACATCCGTTCCCTTTGATTCTACTAAAAACTAGATTTCATGGTTTACGTTTCATCCCAAATTGTTCAAGAATTTAGCACAGCATGCCAACCATATATCTTTGCAGCACTGCATACCTAAATGGTTGTTCATTAGTAGAAAACCGCACAAATACAGAAGGTCCTTATTTTTTATATTCAAAAGAGTTTCAAGTAGTCTACTGGTGAATTTTCAGCTTTGATTCTGCATCATAAGTCTCCGCTTCTATCATAAACCAGATGATTGGGATTTATATTTAGTCCCGAGTGACAAAATATCCCAAAGAGAGCATGTTGACTATACATCTTTGGGGCATTGCTTACCACCTACATCTCTAGATCGAGGTCAAAATGGTTGTGTGATCAATAATAAGCGAGAAAAAACATAGATCTATGATCACATGACTTGTCAGGTACAACATTAGACACTGTTAGGCAAAATTGATTCTGCTACATGAACTCAAGTGACTAGCAAGGTATTGCTTGCAACATTTCATGTTGCACAAATGCAATTATGGGTTATTTGACATGAATGAAGCTCCATATCTAAGCGCATAAAAAGAACAGTACAAAAACAAATACAGTGGGAGAACAGGCAAAAAGTACCATGAGAAGAGATGGTGCCAAAGAAGGATCCACCGAGTTGTATACAGCAAGTTTCGGAAACACGTGGTTCACTAACTGCTTCTGAGAGCTTTTCTGAATACAAGCAAACAGCAATGAGAATAGTAAATCCACGCGACAACTGATATGCAATGTTTGTGTAAAGATAATAAAAACCTGATCTGATGTAGCAGCAAGTTCATGAATGCTTCGTGCCAATTGGGAATACGATACTGGCTGATAAAAGGGACAATTATTACACAGTTAGGACAAGAAAAGACGTAAATATACATTAAACTAGATAATAATCAGATATCATTCTTGAGGATAATAAACAAATATCAGCCATGGTCTAATTATGAACATACAGCAAATGAGAACACTCACATTAATATCCATTTAATGGTAAGTTAGTAACAATTAGTTACGAAACAGTTTGAAGCAATGCTCTAAAGTCTGCCTCAAATTCTTTTAAAGTGCAGCAGTTGTTTCTCACTGCATACCTATGTGATAATACCTATCTTGTGAAGCTTATGATATTTCGCACAAAACCGACACTTTCTTATGGTTAGCATTCTGCACTTGGCATATGTTTAGTGCAACATTTTTCCTAATAAACCTTGCTAAATCCCAAATAATTGCTTCTCTCCTATTGTACCAGCTAGTAATTTCACCTCCTAGAATAAATTGAAACAATCATCTCAACCTCTATTGTTGTCTCTTAGCTCTAGTCATTTCATCTATTCGTGACATCGGCAAAAGTAACATCCAACCCAATTTACAAACAATAACAATCCCTCTCTCACAATCCCTCTCTCGCCTTTCTTATAAGATTTTCGCCTCTTCTAATTTTCTTCAAGGATCTTGCCACACCCCTTTCTCATTTTCAACTTCTCTTATCAGCACTTTCTGTCACCAACTCTGAGATAACCTGTGCACACTGGCAACAGCAAGCACTAAATATGGTAACTAATTTACAAATTACTCCCTTCATCGCCTAAAGTTAACAAATATCTATATCGAATTTTGCTCCAGGTTTCATTCATTTATTATTTTATTCTTAATATGTTTTTATTTTTAAATTTTTACAAAATTAAAATTATTATACTAATGCTCAGATATTCTATTAACTTAAAAGGGTGCACAAATTTAGAAGACACCAAGCTTACTCTTCCTTTTACAAAAAAGTTTGATGGCATTAATCTGATATGTGCTCAGATTGTAACCCCGGCCATTTTAAAACAGTAATTTCACAGAATGCAACTCAAACAGACAGAACCCGAGGCACAAAAGTCGATCAAAAGAGCAAGGATCGCAACTAAGGACCAAACCCTAACCTTCTTCTTCCTCTGTCTCTGCGCGGTCCTGACTGGATTCAAAGCCTTAGCTGCGAGAATGGTGTCGTTCTGGAACTGCATCAAAGTCGACCTATTCGACTTCCGAAACGGGGGCGGGATCTGAGGTGATGAGATCCATGAGCGTCGTCCCGGCGGAGTCCGCCATGGCTGAGCTCGAGCAGGAGCTAGAATTTTTTGGGCTCCGATGACCAGATTGGACTGGGCCGAGACTGGAAGTCGGAGATCTAAGCGTGGTGCTTTATTTTCGGAGCCGATTTCGGACGGAGATCTAGGTGCTGGGTTCGGTTCGGTTTGGTCGTTGTTGCGAATTTGACCGGTTTCGGATCGGCCCGTCGGTTATCCCGTTCGATTCTTACTGGAATTTTTGCATAAACACCCGAGAAGTGATCGTTTTATGATCTTGGTAGCGGACTTGATTACCTCGTAGTTTCACCCATTCTGGACTAAAACACCCTCGATTATTTTCACAGCATTTTTATACTCCAAGTTCTTTAAAGTTAGCGCTTGATGTCCTCTGATATCCAGATGTGAAAATTTTTACATATATATTATCGTGTAACATTTATAATCATTAGCAATGTTAGTATGATATGTGGATATTAGAGTGGTCCATTGTATTTTTGCAAAGTTTTAGGGTCTTCTTGCAATTTTTAAATTGGTTGGAGGCCTTTTTAGAATTATAAAATTTTCACATAGTTGTTTATAATTTTTGTATCTTAATGGATCAGTTTGTAGTTCTTAGAGTTTTCACGGGATATCTATATTTTTTAAATTTTAAAGGGTGGCTTGTAATTTTTAAATATTTAGGGGGTTCTTTTTAATTTAAAAAATTGGTAGGGTTTGCTTGTAGTCTTTAGATTTTTTCGGTGGGTTGTTTGTAGTTTCTTATTTTCGAGAGGGCAATTTGTAATATTTATATTTTTTAGGCCTTGTTTGTAATTTTATAGGTTAGCAAATAGGAATGATTTGGCACGTATATGTTAGTTTTGAAGGATATTGTTTGTTAATAGGCATTGCCTTTAGGGGTGGGCAAAAACCGAAAAAAACCGGTTCAACCGAAAAAACCGCCAGAAAAAGCGGGCCGGTTAACCGACGGTTAACCGAACCGGATTAAATGGATGAGAAGAATGTTCTAAACCGCCCGGACCGGATTAAATCGGTTTGGATCCGGTTTGAACCCCTGAACCATCCGAAAAAACCGACCTGAATTCTCTAATATAAATAGTTAAAAATAGGTGATATCCTGTTGCATGTGTTTGTTTCTCCTTCATCACTTACATTCTTTCTATAGAAATGCTGGAGAGTTTCTCCTTGTTTGCTCATGCATAAACTGCATGGTCAGTGAAGCATTTTTTGCCTCCTACTTACTGGTCTTCAAGGTTTTATGAGAAGATTTTCTTAGACATACTGCCTAGTAGATTTATACTATTATGATAGCTTATCAATTTTCTCAGTTTCTCATTGTAACGACTCCATAGGATGATGGACAAAGAAATGCATTAAGTACAGCAGTGTATACCTACCAGTTTGTCATTGTTCACTATCCTTTTAGCTCCTTGTTCCCTCTTCCTCCATTTCCTTCTAATGACTGCTGATAAAATTTTCATGTCAGATGTTGATTCCTTAAAATTATTGTGTACAGAATCCTCATCTTTCTATATGTGGTCCACAATTCACTGTTGGTTGTAGCCAAACCTGCAATTTGCGCCTAAAGGATCCACTTGTCAGCTCAATTATCTGAAAGAAGTGAGGGTCCTCCAAATCTTAGGTTAATTCGGTCCAAAACCGAAACCGATCCGGTCCGAACCGAATTTCGGTTGGGCCGAATATTCAGATGAATGGGAAAAAATCTGGATCTGGATGAGAGTTTTGAGAATCCGAAAAATTCGGATTGGATGCGGATTGGGCTTAAAACCGATCCGATCCGAATATGCCCAGCCCTAATTGCCTTTATGGGATTAAGTGCAAAAAAAATGGTGCCTTTTTAAAATTCTAAAACTTATCAGGGGTCTAAAAAAATTTTGCGCGCCTAGTTTGCAACAATTAAACCTATTGGAGATCTAGTGAAATTTGTCTTTAAAACTTGAGGAGCATGTGACAATTTTTAAAAATATAATTGTGATCATAAATCCTTCTTTATGTATAAAAGAGAAAAGAATTAAAAATGTAATTATTAGATTTTTTAAATTACAAATTACCAAAATTTTAACTATAATTAGAACTTTCTAATTCTCAATAGATTTAATTTGTTCAGAATTTTAATTATGGAAAATAAACCCAATCATATAAGAACTCTAATTTAATATTAACATAATACATAACATGTGATATTGTTTTGTGCGCATAGGTGTTGTTGATGGTTTAAATCACACAGTTAAAAAAGGAGGTATGTAAGGATTGGGTTTATATGGGGGCCGCTCACTTTTCTAAATATATGATTTGGAGTTAGGATGTTCATCTCTGCGCGCATAACAACTCGTAAAAGGACGGGGACTGGTTCCCCCATTGTTCCTCCGATGACTAGGTCAACTAGGGGCTTGAGTGGGAATATGAGAAAAATACAGTGGAATAGAGAAAGATGCTAAGAAATTATTTACCCTTGTATTTAGAATAATTTTCCTTTTTATAGTCAAAGCAAGAGGGGTAGTCTAATTTTTTTGCCTAGCCTGAGCTAGCGGCTGAGTCGGTATCTACTTTATAGGTGTCGATTTGCGGATCGGCTGTGTGATGGGCGTTGTCATTTCGCCATTAATTAGATGCGATGGTCGGCGCACGAAGCCGGGGTGGTTCGATGTGTCATAAATAGTGTAGGGGATGGAGAAATGATGACACCTGCCAAGCATTTAATGTGACGCCGATGCGCTGCCAGCGAGGGAGGTTCGAGGTTGAAATCGTCCTTTGGCTTGTAGCGATGGGTGCCAAAAAGTAACATATTTCGAGTCGACCCTGTGAGGTGTCGAATAACTGGTCGAGTGGGCTAGTAGCGAGTCGTCTTCGACAAGAGGACCGATAAGTACCGCCCTTCGAGTCGACCTAAGGAAATGCTGACCAGGCGAGTCGACTAAGTCGAGATTCTTAGTAGTCCTGACCGTCAATTCGATTTGAGCGGTGTGTGTAGAGGGACACCTGTCTGTTGCTGATAAAGGGCTATACTTTGGCGACTAAAAACACCACAACAAGGTGCCATTGTTTTGTGTCTTTAGGAGTACGACCAATCTCTCATTATATACACAAAGGAGGGATCCTTGGTCTGCTTTTACACATATCCTAAAATTAGAATTTTGAGATACC